GAAAAGGTCCTGAATAAGGCAGGTAATACATTACTGGAGATTGCCTTTAAGCATAATTTATACAACCTGCATGGCACTTACATGGATAGGTCAGGAGGTTTCTTCTCTTTTATCGGCCCTCGTGGTGCAAGTGTGATAGACCATATCCTGGTCTCTCCAACAATTTTGGAGAGGGCACAGGGTCTCAGCACTTTTAACAGAACTGAGAGCGACCATCTTCCTAGAGCAATCTCACTAACTCCCCTCGAATCAGGAGGATTACAACATCTACATTGTGCAGTCCCTCCTCAAGCACCGGCCCCACGCAGGCGCAAATGGAACAGCGAGCTGGAGCTTAAAATTAAACAACACCTGCACTCTCCAGATTTATTGGCTCTGAGAGACCAGTGTCTTTTACCTAACTTTGATCCTTTTTCATTATATCAGCGGGTCTCAGGGTCTCTTTTCCCATTTCTTATAAACACCAGGCCTCCCAAACAACATAACAAATCGGGGGTCTGGTTTGATAAAGACTGCCGGAAGCTAAGATCCCTGCTTAGGAAACAACAAAACAAGGTAAAACAGGAGAGGACTCTGTCATCTATGGTAAACTTCCACAGATGGCGCTCTTACTATAAAAACACCTTAAAACTCAAGAAATCCCTTTATAGGAAGGAACAATGGGAGGCACTTGATAAGGCGATTAAATCGCGAGACGATAGAAAATTTTGGGCAATAGTAGCACAGGGAGTCTCATCCAAAGGAAAAATTGTAAACAGCAGTATTCCATCCGATGTGTGGTATCAACACTTTTCCAAGCTATACACACCCTCAAATACTGCTAATTCGAGTCCGTCCCTCCCATTGAAGAATGATCATCTAGCTAGTTGGGATCCGGTTACGGAATCAGAGTGCCTACAGCTAATTAAAACTTTAAAAAATGGCAAAGCTCCTGGTGAGGATATGATCCCCCCTGAGGTTTTTAAATCAAATGCCCAATGGTGGGCCATCTTTTTGGCCAAACTTTTTACGGCAATAAACAACACATGTAAAATCCCAGCAAATTGGAAACTAAGTGTGGTAGCCCCTATCTACAAGAAGGGAGACATTCAAGATCCAGCAAACTACCGCCCTGTAAGCCTTCTGGACACTGCATACAAACTTTATACCCGGTACTTATTAAACAAGCTGGTAGATTGGGCGGACCATTCTAACCTGTTCAACCAGGAACAGGCAGGATTTAGAAAGGGCCACTGTATGGTACTACAGACCCTGGTAGCTAAATATGCAAAAGCGTATAAGAGCAGACTCTTCGTGGCCTTCGTTGACTTGACATCTGCCTTTGACTCAATCTGTAGAGATAGACTATGGAAAAAATTATATGAAACGGATATTGACAGACGACTTTTAAAAATTCTCAGAGAGTTACACACAGATATTACAGTCAAAATCAGAACTGGGCCATCGGGAACTCTTACGGACCCACTGCCATTGGGGAAAGGGGTCAAACAGGGATGCCTGCTAGCCCCATTTCTTTTTAACTTTTATATAAACGACATTGTTCAGTACATGGCAAAGTACAAGTCATCGGCTCCAGCCCTTGAAGGTAAACGTCTGAATATATTGCTATATGCCGATGACATGGCTTTAATGGCACTCACCCGAAGAGGCCTAGGCAGCATGCTGGAGGGGATCGCAGCCTACTGTTCCCATAACTCACTAAAGATAAACTATGACAAAACAAAAATTGTGGTGTTCACTAGAGCTCGCCACACCTTTAGATGGTCTTTAGATGAACATGTGATTGAACAGTGCCCTTTTTTTAAATATCTGGGTGTTACATTCCAGGCTACATCTAGTTGGTTAGCCCACTTTAAGGCTGTAACCATCCTAACACGAAGAACAATTGGTGTCCTGCTTAATTTCTTTCATACCCGGGGAGGACAATTGGTGATCCCAGCATTAAGAGCTTTTGTTGGGAAAGCTATTCCCCAGATGTTATATGGGATAGAACTCTGGGGGTGGAACCAGAGGCTGTTGGAACGGCTCGAAATTTTGCAAAATTATTATCTCAGGAGGATTCTAGGCCTTCCTCAAGGAACCCCAGCAGCTTTCTTGAGGGTGGAGGTTGGATTACCCTCTGTGTCTGCCAGGGCCCATTTAAGATTCCTACGATTTTACATCAACCTTGCAAATACCTCAAACACCTTATTAGCCAAACAAGCCTTTGTATCTCTTCAAAAGAACACCACTTGGCATCAAAACCTATCTGAGATCCTGGTTAGATACACCCTACCGGAGTTTAATATCCTCAAACTGTGGAGCCCGGACAAAGTTCGGGAATGGATCCTGCAGAGAGACGCTCTGTTAGATATCACAAAAATACAGAACCCAGGGTCCTCCCACTGGCTTCCCCGACTGAAAACAGTCAAAACCTGCGCCAATTACTTAGCGAATATCACCAATCCCACCCTTCGGAGAGCCTTCACCATGGCCCGTTTTCAAACCATTCCTACGGCCTATCTGTCAGGCAGATATGCAAAAATCCCAGTAGAGCAGCGTATATGTCCTTGTCATATGAGAACCAAAGAGGATCTCATACATTACATGTTGTATTGTCCCATCTATTCGGCCTTCAGGGATGCAATGTTACAAACTATTCCCAAATCAATAGTCAACTCTGAGGACCAAGTAAAGTTTTTACTGGTGGACGCTGATCCACGGATTTCTCACGTGGTAGCAGTCTTTGTGGTGAAGGCTATGAAAACTAGGGTATGGTTCCTGGATGAAACGGTGAGGTCCCTTCCATTGATCTCCTAACCTGTTGCTGTATCTTCTTTCCTGAATGGTGGGGTTTTTTGGGTAGTTTCCTTGCTGGGATAGCATGACATGAATTTTAGCTTACTTTTATAATTTTATTGTTTATCTTTTAACAATGTTTTATGGTATTTTGTGTAAAGGCATGGACCTCACAAATTTAATAAACTTGTTGTTGTTGTAATGATGGAAGTTTGAATGACTTGAGGTGTATTGCTCTTTCAGAAAGCACAGTGACTCAGGTGGAATGAAGTGGGCACAGAGCCAGGGGGTGAAATGACCCTCATTCCCTCACTGGATGTGCAGAGAGGTCTGTTGCCTCTTTAGGATTGTTAGGGCTCAGGAATTGGCTCTAGTACTGAGGTTTGGGGTTCATTCTCTGGGTAGCAAGTTAAATCTCACGGCAGTCAGCTAGTCTCAGATCAGGACCTTTGAATCTTTGGATAAAAATCCTGCTTTAAAAGAAAGACCACTCAATGTATCATTAGGATTTTACCTGCTCATCCTTTGTCTCCCATTCCAATAATATTTTATACCTTTAGACAGCACTTTTACATTCCATTCCAACAGGTCTCTCTCCAGTTGTGATATTTGTTCCCCAAATCCTCATATCCTATCTTTCTTAAATGCTTCATTCAAATGATATTGTATCCATGTTGTTAATTTCCCTGATAATTCCTTAAATTATTTTAATTTATACTCTCCTCCCTCGTTTTAATAAATTTCTATAAGTTGTCCACCCTTCTATCATGTTCTATTTCTTTACTGCTATAGCTTCCAATGGTGAGAGCCAAAGTGGTGTTTTTACCTCTAATAAATTCTTGTATTTATCCCATACGCTATAGAATTTTTTCCTAATTATATGATTTGTAAATCCTTTATGAACTTTCACCTTTTCATACCATAAATATGCGTGCCAACCAAAAATATTGTCATGACCAGTGCTTTTTTTCCTGGGGCGATGCAGGGGTACACATACCCCTAAACATTTTGTGAATCTAAGTTTGGCCTCATTGAGGGGCAGGATTTCAATATGAGTAGGAAAATGAGAGTACCCCTAAACTTTTTTTTTTAAGAAAAAAAAGCACTGATCATGACTTTCTAAGTCTAGAACAGTGGTACCTTGGTACTTGAACGGCTTGGCTCCAGAAACTGTGTCTGTGGTATTTGAAATGAGGAAGAGACATCACCTTCATGGGTTACCATGTGGAGCTTTGGAACAGAGAGAGCAAGTTCCAGGACACACAATGGACTCCTCTGCGGTCCTGTTCTCATCACACACTGCCTTGGCATAATGGGAAGGAAAAGGAGATTCAAATCCTGTTGTCCTTGTAAACAGCAAGTGGTGGGGCAATCAGGATTGTCCTTCTTAAAGCTGCTCTAATGGGATGATGGGCTGCTGGTCAGTGAGAGAGGATTTGCTTTGTATGCAGAAAATTACCTGTTCAATTCCCAGCATCTTCAGGTAGTGCAGTGAATGTCCCCTGTCTAAAACCCCCCCCAAAGACACCACTGAAGGACAGAATGGGGGGTGTTTGTGTGAGAGGGATCCTCTCCCTTCCCCCACTGAGATCTTGATCTAAATCAGCCCTCTCAGTGTCTTCTCATAAAGGTAAATCTGTGCAGAGTCCCAAGCAAAGGATCCAATGTTGCCAGGATTGTGTACACAGACAGTTTAAAGTGGATCTGATATATTCCAGGTATACGTGGTTTTCACATTGCCCACACAATGTTATACTCATCCAAGTGGCAGCCTGCATTCTCCCCTCCCATATTTAATTCAGGTTTTTGATCAGTGGATAATGCAGTAGGGTAAGAAAATCCCATATAAAATCAAATATTAGCTAACTGTGGATCTTTTTAAAAAAGAAAAGAAAAAAAGATGTGTAGTGATGTTTTGCTGGGTGCCATCTGTCACAACACACTGCTGACAGGGCCCTTTGTGACACACATGGTGGTGCTTTGGGCTGCTATCGTTGTTTTTTACCCACTGGACTGGTCTACTGGTGAACATACACATTTAAAGGCTGCTAAACAAATACCTTCCCACATGCCCACAGTGGACCTCAGTGTTCCAGAACTCAGGCAGAGTGAGGGACCAACATCACGTGGTGTCAAAGTATCTCACCAAGCATCACCCACTTGGGGTTTTATTTCAGTGTCAAGCCAAGCTTCAAGGTATACAGACTGAAAGCCTATCAAATCCATTTGGCATATCTGCTGCTGAGGTGCCAAAATAATTAAAGAGAAGAAATCTTGAATACAGTAGTTAGCAGGGATCTTCAGCGTCAGCCAGGAGTTAACCAAAAAGTAGTCAAATGGTTTTCAAACTCAAGTTATCTTTAGAGCGCCTCTTTGATTATATTAGGGAAGTGACATTTCTGTGTGGGGAAATCCCACAGCGCCTGGCCATTGAGCCTCAGAGGCCTGCCTGGGCGAGGTTCCGTGCTTAGGTCCCCTTGCCCTGCTTCCCGCTCGGCATGGGCTTCTCACAGATGTAGTAGCACAGGTAGCTGCAATAGACGTCGTTCCATTCCCCAGAACCCCAGAGATGCGCACAGTCTTCGTTCCCACTGTTATTCGGTTCCCCTGGCTTCCAGTACCTGCATTGAATGTTAAATACTTTGAAAAATATCAAAAATCCAAGATATACAGAATTTGATAGACTTCCCTCTTGATGTCTTTTTCATGGCCAAAAAGCAGTTTGGGTGGGGTGCAGGAAGAGAGATTTGGACTGGGGCCATAGTGCCTGAGAGGTCTAATCATGCAACAGAACTGATCCAAGTCCTCTGGCTATTAGTCACAAATATATTGGGGTAGTGGTGTTCTTGCACTGTGCCCCTGTGTTTGAACAGGATTGCAGTGCTCCACTCTTCCCCCTTATGCCATTTTCTCACTGAAATCATCTCCACTGCCATATCTTGCTGTAGGCAGTCCATGAGGACTATTTTTCAGAGCATCTATGGTGGATTTCAGTTCAAAAATGAAAAAAAAGATCCAAGGACATACTTAAGGGGATGTAGAGTTTGACCCTTTAGAAAAGCATTTCCCAACCTATATGTTGTTGGACTACAAATCCCATCAGCCTGGATCATTGTCTATGCTGGCTGGGGATGATGGGGACAGTAGTCCAACATTTGGGGTCCCAAGGCTGGGAACAGTCAGTGTAGAAGGAAGCTTTTGGTGAGGTTCTGCTTGAAAGAACATCAGTCATGTGAGAATTCCTGCTGGCAGAATCTGAGAAGAGAATGCCATTTCCAAATTTGTTTTGACCGCACTTGATGCCAGCTGCATAACAAAAGGGATGACAACTGCTCAGTGCTTACGTGAAGCCCGAGTAGTAACTGCTGCCATCAACCCATCTCCACAGTCCTTCAGTATCTCTGTCCGTGAGGCCCATCCAATAACGGTCATTCCTGGTCCGGGTCATAAGGAAATTCTGCATGAGAAAGAAAAATCAGATAAATGTGGCCATGAGAGTACATGGACTTTCTGTTGGAAGATGACGTTTAGGAGGATCCAGAATCAGTTTCTCGGCCATTGCTGTGTTGGGTTCCACAGGGTTCAGTTCTGCCATGGGTACTGCATCAGCGTAGAGCTTTATGCAGCCAAAGTAGTATGACCCATGTGCAAGAAGGAGGCATCAACAGACTGGTGGTGGTCCCTAAGGTTAGCAGAAGTACATTTTGTCGGGGGGCGGGGGAGAAAACCAAAACAGCTCAATGAGATCTGAGAATGCTCAGTGAAACACTGCCTGGCTGTTTGTGTGCAGGAAATGAAAGCTGGGTGTCAGGGAGTATTGGACTGGAGGCTCCTGGCAGAGGGTGCAGTTTCCTGGCTGGCTGGCCCTCTGAAAGCACGCCATGTGGCAACATTTTGTGGTGAGCATGGCTGGCCACTCAAGGCCCCTCCAGCACAGAACCTGGCGGGAAGAGTTGCAGCTCAGTGGCAGAGCATCTGCATTGCTTCCTGAAGGTCCTGGGATCCATCACCTGGCAGCTTCAGGTCGAGCTGGAAAAAGACTCCTGCCTGAAATCATGGAGTGCTGCTGAGAGTCAATGTAGACAATCCTGAACTAGATGGATCATTGGTCTGACGTGATCTAAGGCTGCTTCCTAGGTTTCTATGTTGAAAAGCACAGTACAGCACGGAGCACAAGTAGCCGGTTTATCAAGGAAGAGGCAAATCCTCCCAAGTTGAATTCACTGGAAAATCTTGAAGGCATTCAGAGCCAGGTACAGGTGTACAGAAACACATCCACTGGGCCAACCATGGACAGTATGTTGATACAGGGGAACATCCGTAGTGGCGGTCAAACTGACTTTCAGAGATGTTTGTCCACAATTTTCTTTTTGAGGAACCCCTGATAAGCATTCAGGAAAACCCCAGGTTCTCTGGAGCCCAGTTTGGAAACTGTAGCCTGGCTGTGATCGGGAGATGCATGCCAAGTAAGTTGGAATAAGGCAACTAAGCCCCCCAATCTCTCTGGGTGCAATGGTTTCCCCCAACTTTCCCTGATTCCTCCAACTCCAGCACACCAGCCCTGGCCATTTCCTTTCTTTTTACCTGTTCAGGCATACTATCAATGACAACCAGCTTTGAATTTCTGACAGCGCAATCATCCCTGGCCTGCATCCAGTTAGTTTTCTGCAGGGAGAAGTAGTAGCATTTTCCATTGTGGTATTCCCATTCTCTAGTGTCAGGATCGCATGGGAACACTGAGCAAAGGAAAGAGAGACAACATTAGCCAATGGCTTGAAAAGTAAAGTAAAGCTTAGAGATGTCTGAGAGCACAGAAAGTGCAGTAGGCTGTATCTAGCTATGCAGTCGTCCATCTATTTAAAGGAGGAGGAGCTGGCAAAGTGGTGCCCTCCAGATGATGTTTGAATGCAGCTCCTACGTTCATAAGAAGAGCTCTGTTGGATCAGGACCAGGGCCCAACTAGTTCAGCATCCTGGTCTCACAGTGGTAAGCAGATGCCTATGGGAAGCCCACAAACAGTCCTCTCTGCACTTGTCATTTCCCAGAAAATGGAAGTTCAGAAGTTGGCTGCCTCCAAAAATGAACATTCTGGCTGGGACTGGTGGTAATCAGCCTGCTTTCACATGACAGTTAATTCCGTTTTAACAACTGTTCCAGACCCTCCAACATGTCATGACAAAAACTGGGACACCATCTTCCGGGGCTGCACTTCTGCACAAGTTACATGACCTGTGCAAGATTGCAGTCCTGAAAAAACACTTTATTAGGGCACAGTGCCCCAAAGATATTGCCTCCCCCCCCAAATAAAAACTTTTCTTAGGGGAAAATTGCAGTGCGAAATCAAGCAATATTGCAGCGCCCAAAATGTTTGCCATGCTCTCACGAGAAAAAACAGGATTTCTCATTTCCTGGGACGGTTGAGGGCTATGCTGTTCCCTAACTGTAAAGTTCTGTATTATATGTGAGCTTTCACAAAAGCCACTTCTGGAACTGTAGAGGAGTATAGTGCAAGTTTAGTGCCCATTTCTGTCTTATTTGCTCCCAGAAAAAAATCTGTTTGCAAATAATATGGAAACAAATGCTAAACTTGCACCAAATTCCACTATAACTCTGGAAGTGGCTTTTAGATCATGTGAAAGCTCAAATATAACATGAATTGCAAGTGGAGAGTGCTGTTCTGGACTCAAAGGGTCTTTGGACAGGTTCAGCAAGGCGCTTCTGATATTCCTTTTATACTTGAGATCAATTAGGAGAGGTTTGAAAGCTCATAAGAGAAAATCACTGAGGGCCACCACGGCTATGTGAGGCGCCACTCCCTAGGTTTCAAGCTCTGCTCCCTGATGTTTAGGGTCTGAGATTCAGCAGAACTGATCACCCTAGAGAAGAATATAAGTTTGGGGTGGGGGGAAGTAGGCTGTAAGCAGAGACCTTTCTAACCCCTGGATCCAGCAAGTGTTAAAATATAAGTCCGGCTAGTTTCCAGTGTTGAGGTGATAGTCCAGGTGATGGGCCATTAAGGGAAAAAAAGTGGATCTCTGAGAGGGTATTTAGGAAAAAGACAAAGGCAAGAGTTGAGAGTTCAATGAGTGAGCCAGAGGGAAAAGGAGCAAGCTGGAGAGAGAGTCAGAGCAACAATTGAGAACATTGTTTGATTTTTTCTGTTTGGAATCCAAGGCTGTGGCTATGCGAGAAACCAGACCTTCTTGGGTTTTTAATGCTGTGATCCCCTCCATTGTAGGATCGGGTTGCATATGTATTTGTAAATAAATCATAGAGACACCACAGTCTCCGCTAAGCCCCATTCCCAAAGGAAACATGAACCTTGGGTGAGAATCTGGTACACCTTGGATCTCACACCATGCAGGGATTGGAGTGGCAGGCAACAATATGTTACAAGACTTACATTCATAATCATGTCCCGTTCGTGGCTTTGGACTCTCATCAATCAATTCACTCAGTTCTGATGAAAGTGTTGTTGCTTAAAATTTTAAAAGAGGAAAAGGGGGAAATGTTAGAAATTTAGAGCTGAAATGAAACATATTAAATGGCAGACGTTATGATGCACGGAGGTGTGATATGGTTTATTATTATTGAGAGACAGCAAATCAGGAGAGGTTTAGCGATGAAATGCTTAGTAATAACTTTGAATGTCAGTGTCATGCTAATCAATCAATTAACTTTGAAACAATGCCTCTCTTTCCCACACCCCTCCAAACATCACAAAGTGGTTTGAAGTTGGCATTACGCTAATTGTATAACAAATTATCTCCTAATATAAGAGGGGGCAGGGTTTCTGTTGAGTCAGGTGATTAGCTGTGGGAGGAGCTTATCAGAGCTCGCAGGGCAGCAGCTGAAGAAGGTGCAAAAAGGTTTTTCTTGTGTGTGTTACTTGTGGCTGATTAGCTGCTCTCCCTGTGCAAAGGTCAGAGGGGGCAGGGTTTCTGTTGAGTCAGGTGATTAGCTGTGGGAGGAGCTTATCAGAGCTCGCAGGGCAGCGGCGCGCAGTTTGATCCATCTTTTAGATTTAGGGGAGCTAGTCTCAAACGTTTGTTGGGGGAGACCTAGGTTTTTTTGGGGGGGGTTATTTGTCCTGTCTTCACGCTTTTTAAGATGGAGGACCACTGTAGCCACCCCCAACGACACGTTCCCAAGATGGAGGGTGAGGGAACAGCTGCAGTCGCCTGCAGTTCCTGCGCAATGTTTGCCATCTTGCCAAAGGTTGCAGGCAGCTTTACCTGCAGCAATTGTATGTTGATTGCCCTCTTAGAAGACAAAGTCCAACAACTGGAGAAACGTGTAGCTACGCTCCAAAGAATTAGAGAGCTGGAGCTCTTCTTGGAAGCAACAGAGAACACCGTCTCCACCAAGGAGGAGACAGGGGACTCCCCTGAGAAGGAGGCTAGTTCACCAACACAGGAGCCAGATATATGGAGAAACGTGACTCAAAGAAGTAGGAGGCCCAGGGTTCGCTCTGATTGTTTAGAAATACACAATCACTTTGAAGTCCTCTCCCCTAGCATGGAAGACGAAGAACAGACTCCATTTGAGGATCTCTCCCTCATTACAGTCAATCAGGTATATGAAGACGAGCAGCAAAGTCAGTCCTCAGGGAATGTGCAGGCGACCTTGGAACGGACAGCTCACGGAAGAACCCCGACCAAACCTAAGAGGGGGCGTGTAGTGGTGATAGGGGATTCCCTACTGAGGGGAACAGAAGCAGTGATCTGTGGGCCTGACAAGATGTCTCGGGAGGTGTGCTGTCTCCCCGGGGCTAAGATCCAAGATGTAACTGAACGACTGCAAGGAATCATAAAACCCACTGACAAATACCCCTTCCTCTTGGTTCATGTGGGAACCAATGACACTGCAAGCAATAGCCTCCAGAAGATCAAAAGAGACTATGAGGCTCTGGGCAGGAAATTGAAGCAATTAAATGCACAAATTGTCATCTCATCTGTCCTCCCAGTTGAACGATGTGGCCCAGGGAGAGAGGGAAAAATAGTGGGAGTATAGTGTCATAGACCAAATGGAGCAAACAGCACACAGACCTAGTGGTGGGAGGAAAAAATCCTTAAATAAGAGACACGGGGGAATGATTAATGGACTTCAATGTCTGTACACTAATGCGCAAAGCATGGGAAATAAACAAGATGAGCTTGAGCTCTTGGTACAGCAAACTAAATATAGGCATCACTGAAACCTGGTGGGATAAGTCCCACGATTGGAATGTAATAATGGAGGGATACAATCTAATTCAGAGAAACAGACCAGACAAGAAAGGAGGAGGAGTGGCGTTATATGTCAGGGATGTGTATACCTGTGAAGAGATCAAAGATTTAGAACCTCAAAGCCAAAGTGAGAGCATTTGGGTCAAAATTAAGGGAGAGAAGAATAACAGAGACCTCATTGTGGGAGTTTACTATAGATCCCCAAGCCAAACAGAGGACATAGATGATGCCTTCCTGGAACAGATGGCCAAGCATGCAAAAGGAAGGGAGATAGTAGTAATGGGGGACTTCAATTACCCGGATATTTGTTGGATGTCAAACTCAGCCAAGAGCATAAGGTCAAACAGATTCCTCACTGGCCTTGCAGACAACTTCATTGTCCAGAAAGTGGGAGAAGCAACAAGAGGAACAGCCATTTTAGATCTGGTCCTAACCAATGTTGATGACCTGGTTAGTGGGGTAGAAGTGGAAGGATCATTAGGCGCGAGTGATCATGCTCTTCTGAAGTTTACTATACAGCGGAAAGGAGCAGCCAAGCATACTAGGACTCAATTTCTTGACTTTAAGAAAGCCAACTTCATAAAACTTAGGGAAGTGCTGGGTGAGATCCCATGGACAGTAATACTAAAAGAAAAGGGAGTTCATGATGGCTGGGAGTTTGTTAAGAGGGAGATAGTAAAAGCACAACTTCAGGCAATACCAATGAGACGGAAACATGGAAGGTGCCTAAAGAAGCCAGGGTGGCTATCTAAAGAACTTTTAACTGAGTTAAGACTAAAAAAGGATGTGTACAAAAAATGGAAAAGGGGGGAAACCACCAAAGAGGAATTCAAACAAATAGCCAGCACATGTAGACACAAAGTCAGAAAAGCTAAAGCACAGAATGAACTCAGGCTTGCTAGAGAGGTTAAAAGCAACAAAAAAAGGCTTTTATGGGTATGTCCGTAGCAAAAGGAAGAACAAAGAAACTGTGGGGTCACTCAGAGGAGAAGATGGTGAAATGCAAACAGGGGACACAGAAAGGGCTGAACTCCTCAATGCCTTCTTTGCCTCAGTCTTCTCCGATAAAGAAAACAATGCCCGACCTGAAGAATTTGGAGCAAATGATTCAGCAGAGGAAACACAGCCCAGAATAACTAAGGCTAGTCTAGATGTATGCAAGTCTCCAGGGCCAGATGAACTGCATCCAAGAGTATTAAAAGAACTGGCAGATGTGATCTCAGAACCACTGGCAGTCATCTTTGAGAATTCCTGGAGAACAGGCGAAGTCCCAGCAGACTGGAGGAGGGCAAATGTTGTCCCTATTTTCAAAAAGGGGGAAAGAGAGGACCCAAATAATTATCGCCCAGTCAGTCTGACATCAATACCAGGGAAGATTCTGGAGCAGATCATTAAGCAAACAGTCTGTGAGCACCTAGAAAGGAATGCTGTGATCACCAATAGTCAGCATGGATTTCTGAAAAATAAGTCGTGTCAGACTAACCTGATCTCGTTTTTTGACAGAATTACAAGCCTAGTAGATGAAGGGAACGCAGTGGATGTAGCCTACCTTGATTTCAGCAAGGCATTCGACAAGGTGCCCCATGATATTCTTGTAAAGAAGCTGGTAAAATGCGGTCTTGACTATGCTACCACTCAGTGGATTTGTAACTGGCTGACTGACCGAACCCAAAGGGTGCTCATCAATGGTTCCTCTTCATCCTGGAGAAGAGTGACTAGTGGGGTGCCACAGGGTTCTGTCTTGGGCCCGGTCTTATTCAACATCTTTATCGACGACTTGGAAGATGGACTCAAGGGCATCCTGATCAAATTTGCAGATGACACCTGTCAGGGGTTCAGGGAGTGAGGCACAGATGAGGGAGGAGACTGAGAGCGAGGGGGAAGAATCCAGGAACGAGGAGGAGGAGGATGACAATGACTTGAGGGCTTCCATGAGTCTCTCAAGTGAATCGGAGGATTCCCAAAAGGGGGCGCCCCTGGTCAGGCCAAGGGGAGCCACAGGGGGGACTCGTCAGGAGCAGGGGAGCAGCAGGGAAACCCCGAGTGGGAGTGGGAGATCGGGGCAGGCTTCCCAGCCGGAACGGAGTGAAGAGGGTGGAGTTCCCAGTGTGACAGGCGGAGCAGAGCAGGAAGCAGAGAGGGGAAGGAGATCGGGGCAAGACGTCCTGCCGGAAGGGGCGGAGAGTAGTACAGAGAGTAGTATAACTGTCAAGAGGAAGGTCAGGGGTAGCGAACGCGCGCCAAGTTCAAATGTGGAGGCGCGCGGAAATGCGGAGAGCCCGGAGGAGGAGCCTGGTCCCAAAGCACGGAGGAGGGGGGAGCAGGCGTCTGGAGACTCAGCGTCAGGGGAAAGCAGGAGGGAAGGAACCCAGGGGGGCAGAAAGACCCTGCGGAAAAGGAAGGACAGGAAGAGGTGGACCAGCACAAGCCTCTTAAACTGGTGTAGAGGCGGGACTGATTCAGAGGGGACTTCAGCGGTCTAAGCGTAACAGACGTGGGGCTGCGCGCCTCGGCTGTGGAACAAACAATGTACTTCAATAAAGACTTTTGTAAATAAAGTGGACTTGGCGTTGGTCTCTTGTGAGCTGGGACCTGAGGCGGCCCTGACAACACCAAACTGGGAGGGGTGGCTAACACCCCAGAGGACAGGATCACACTTCAAAATGACCTTGACAGATTAGAGAACTGGGCCAAAACAAACAAGATGAACTTTAACAGGGAGAAATGTAAAGTATTGCACTTGGGCAAAAAAAACGAGAGGCACAAATACAAGATGGGGGACACCTGGCTTGAGAGAAGTACATGTGAAAAGGATCTAGGAGTCTTGGTTGACCACAAACTTGACATGAGCCAACAGTGTGACGCGACAGCTAAAAAAGCCAATGCAATTCTGGGCTGCTTCAATAGGAGTATAGCATGTTCCGGTTTGCGGATCCGTCCTGACTCCAGCGGCGGGTATCTTTTGGAGAGTCTCTTGTTTGGGCCAGAAACTGATGGCCTCCAGTTCCTGGAGTTAGAAACAGCTACACCTAAGATGGCCAATCACTTGAAATTCGTTGCTCGGACAGTGATGGTGCCCAATGGCAATGTGGAGGCTGCCTATCGAGTCCTCAACAGGGTCCTAACTATGGACGGGATCATTGACAGAAGCAAGCGCCAACGGTATTATGAGAAGCCCTGCCGCAAGAGGCAGCGGGAGGCGTACGAGACGTGCCGGAGGATCTATAACACGGAAATGGCTCGAAAGATCAACTTCCTCATGCGGAAGAACCGCTCAGACCCCTGGCTCGGTTGCTGAGCTTGGAAGGCACGTCCGAGCATAGTAACTGCTGCAAAACCGAGATGAGCTGTTTATGACTTTTCTGAGCAAAGCTAACACCTCCCATCCACTTCAGTGGGATCTCTGAAAGACTGACTCCCCATTTTTTTTTGTTTGAAAATATTTTTATGTTATCTTTTTTTTTTTTTTAAAAAAATCAACATTCTATATTGTTTGTCAGCAACAAACTTCACTAGTGTGTTACCCTTTGTGTGTTAAGCAAAAGTCGCTGGGCAGTCCATCCCAAGCAGAAGCAGTTTTGCTTGGAGGTGTTGACTTGGGTTGTTGAATGCTTCAGAATTATGGGGAGGGTCGGCCCTTTGCTGGGAGAACTAATACATGAGGCAGAGACTTTGTTGCATACAGTTCTACATGCTGGCATGTTTGCTTTCTTGGGTAAACATTTAAAAAAATAAAAAGAGGGTTCTCCCTTGCAAAAAAAAAATAAAAAAAAAAATAGGAGTATAGCATAGTGCTACGGTATTCTGCTCTGGTCAGACCTCACCTGGAGTACTGTGTCCAGTTCTGGGCACCACAGTTCAAGAAGGACACTGACAAACTGGAACGTGTCCAGAGGAGGGCAACCAAAATGGCCAAAGGCCTGGAAACGATGCCTTATGAGGAACGGCTAAGGGAGCTGGGCATGTTTAGCCTGGAGAAGAGGAGGTTAAGGGGTGATATGATAGCCATGTTCAAATATATAAAAGGATGTCACATAGAGGAGGGAGAAAGGTTGTTTTCTGCTGCTCCAGAGAAGCGGACACGGAGCAATGGATCCAAACTACAAGAAAGAAGATTCCACCTAAACATTAGGAAGAACTTCCTGACAGTAAGAGCTGTTTGACAGTGGAATTTGCTGCCAAGGAGTGTGGTGGAGTCTTCTTCTTTGGAGGTCTTTAAGCAGAGGCTTGACAACCATATGTCAGGAGTGCTCTGATGGTGTTTCCTGCTTGGCAGGGGGTTGGACTCGATGGCCCTTGTGGTCTATTCCAACTCTATGATCATATGATTCTATGATAAGGGTGGGAAACCTGTGGCCCTGCAGATGTGGACTGCAACTCCTGTTATAGACGCCCCCATATATAAGATTTCCCCTATTTTGGGGGACTCTGATTTAAGAAAATGGGGGATGGTCCCTGTGTATAAGACACCCCCAAATTTTGGACATTATTTTCAGGGGGAAACGTAGTCTTATACACGGAAAAATACGGTATTTTATTTCATAAAACCACTTGATTGTAAACCTCAAAGTGCTTTACAAAAAGATAAAACAATAAAATTAAGAAAAAAGTCACAACCCTAGTTTAAAATAATTGAGTAGACTTATCTAAACAAGAATATTTTAGCAGGTGCCAAAAAGAGTACAGTGAAGCCTGCTTGATCTCAATAGGTAGGGAGTTCCAAAGTGCAGGTGAAGACCCAGTTCTTATAAATGTGGAACGGGCATTATGTGACGCCTGTTGTAGTGCCAGTTCTTTCAATCAATGTGGTTGAGTGGCGCATGTGCAGTAATCTATTGACCATGTTTGTTTGGGTTGATGGGCGATGGAGACCAGTAACACGAGTAACAATGGGAACATTATATTAGACCTTTTATGGGCCTCTACACAGACCAGAACCTTGTTGGTTGTGTTGCGGCCGCTTTACCGCCAGGATCTACCATGGGATGAGGCAGCTTTTCCTTCCCAGATGTCTGCTTCTGCTCTGTGGGTCCTGGACTCTCCCAGCTCTGTCCTTTGGGGCATCTCGACTCTTCCAGCCAAGGTTCCCTCACGTAAGAGTTGTCTGGGTTCCTCTTACCCTGCTCTTAGCTCCAGCCAGGCCTTAGGGATCCAGCCCCTGGTCATCCAATAAAGTTTCACTTGAGGATCCCGGATATTTCTCCCCTGCTGCCCTATTTTTGGCACCGCAAGCTAGAAGTTCACCCCACAGCATCCTTGTTCTCGCCATCCCTTTCCAGCCTAGCAGAACATGGACAGTTACTCTCCCAGGCCATTGCTTAGCAACTTGGTGAGATGGGGTGGATGCTTCAGAGAAGAGAGTGTGGCCTCCCTCACTGACCAGTCTAACCAGGAGACATGCACGAAAACCCACCCTGCTCCTCCTGGCCTGGGAAGTCAGGAGATAAGAGAACTTCAATAATGTGTCACCTGCATGCAATATGCCCCCTTTTTCGGTCTGGACAATTTCGCTGGCTTTCCATCCCTACCTCTGCCCCTCTTACATCAGGTGGTAAAAGCCCTCAAGGAAAGCAGGAAAGAACCTGCCTGTGGGATTCAGCTCTCTCACCAGGAGAAACTTCAACTAGAGGCCCTCAGACCACCACTAGGGTAATGGGAAACGTAGTCCAGAAACTTATGGGGACCATAGTTTGAAGAATCCTGAGTTAGTGGATGGGGGCCAGCCAACACGCTACCCACTTCATAAGGATGTTGTACTGGGACATTTTGGGGAGAAAAGAAGAAGAAGAAGAAGAAGAAGAGTTTGGATTTGATATCCCGCCTTTCACTCCCTTTAAGGAGTCTCAAAGCGGCTAACATTCTCCTTTCCCTTCCTCCCCCACAACAAACACTCTGTGAGGTGAGTGGGGCTGAGAGACTTCAAAGAAGTGTGACTGGCCCAAGGTCACCCAGCAGCTGCATGTGGAGGAGCGGAGACACAAACCCGGTTCCCCAGATTACGAGACTACTGCTCTTAACCACTACACCACACTGGCTCTCTGCTCTTAGCTCCAGCCAGGCCTTAGGGATCCAGCCCCTGGTCATCCAATAAAGTTTCACTTGAGGATCCCGGATATTTCTCCCCTGTGGCAGATGATGTGGCAGATGATGGCAGATGATGGCAGACTGCTGCTTCCTCATCCCCACCAGTGGCAAGTCTGTCTCCATGAACCCTTAAAAATCCCCCAATTGCCAAAACAGGACCCCCATCAAATCATCACCTGTGAATGGAGTGGTAAATGTTGGCAGTGGATTTTTGCCTCCCGCTAGACTCCATTTACCCTTCCCTGGAGACCCTGAGGCAAGGACTCTTGGCGCTTCAGGTCAGATTTCCAAAAGTTGGCAGCACTACAACTGAGCACAAATCAGCTTTCACTTCCCTTCATTTAGTGATTTTGCTCATTTTTGTTTAGGTGATAGTTATTTTTCTATCTAGTTTAGTCAGATTGATTCACACCCTATGCCATTATGAGCAGGGCTGATTATTGTTGTGCCAGTTGTGCTAGAAATATTTATATTGAGGGGCAGCATAGAAATCTTTAAAATAAATATATAAATTCATTCATAGTTATTAAAGAATAATAAACCAAAACATACACCTCCCTTTGTTTCTGATGGAGACAAGGCCAAGAAACAATGTCCTTCATAGATGAAATGTTTTGAACGATAAAGAGGGAAATGGTCAAAGTACCTTTGGAAAGAGCCACGATGCAGAAAAGAGCAGCTCCCAGGACAGAGACCATCAGCAGGATGCAGATGTGGAAGAGCGGCCTCCGGGTGAAATTAAGGTAACTTCTTTCTTTAAATAAAGAAAAGAAAAAGAAGAAAAAGATATAGCCATTCTTCCATGACTGCTGGAATCATGCAAGAACCTTTATTCCAACAGAGTTTCCAGCAAGAGCTTTGAGTTGAGGATATGCACCCATTGTGAGCGCATTGTGATGAGTGTGCCAGGCCCCTGTAATCCCTGGATGGTGCAAGTGTTAAAATCTAATCTAGCTCTGTGCTAGATGGCAAATGGGTGGGGCCCCTCACTCAGCTCAGAGATACCGTAGTTGGAAGGATAAAGCCTGAATTGAGAGTTGAGAGTTGCTCTGATGTGAGCTACAAGCAAAACAGCAAATGGGAAGCGAGAGGCAGAGCAATGATTGATTTCTGTTGGAATCCAAGGTTGTGGCTACCGGAGAAACAAGACCCTTGCTGTGAACTCCTCCATCGTAGGCTCAGGTTGTATATAGGAGTAAATAAACCATATATCATAAAGACACCAGAGTCTCTGCTGTGCCTCATTTCCAAAAGGAAACACAAGCCCCTGGTAAGTGCCTGGGATCCCTGGAATCTTGCACCCCCCCCCCCGGAGACTGGGGTGGTGTGCAGCGGTATCACACTTGCCTTGGTGCAGCCTTTCTTGCTATCTTACTGCGCTTGCATGATGTCTTGAAACTTTCTTGAAGTATCAGCTGTGTTGCTTGCTGTGCGGCTGCAGCCTTGTGTTGGTTTTGTGGGGGGAGGGGTTATTATTATGAACTAATAAAGCAGAATAAATATTGCACTATGGTGGGGTTAAGAAACAAACATGCCCACAATAACGCAGCAGTCTTGGAAGGGCCCCTGGAGTCACTTTCGCCCCTCCACCTCTGATTTCCTTAGCTGCTTCTGTGCCCGGCAACCTGGCCTGAACATTAAAAGAACCTCTGGATGGCCTTTTTCTTAAGCATTCATTCGGATTTGCTATTACAAAGCTTACAGGTCTTTATTTAGCAGGCATCCTTTGTTTGCAGGGAGGTTCAGTGACAAAAGAGGGACAAAGGATTTGCTTGCAGGTCTTCCCATTAGCCATTTGCTCACTGCACATTTTTCAGTGCATTTCCACCTGTCACTTTCCTAACTGTAAAAAAGTCTTTTTTAAAAAAAGTGAATTTGTTGCAGTAAGTTGACTAGAGTGCTTTAATTCACATTATTTGTGCAAACCTCAATTTCCAGTAATATATGTGGAACCAGGAAGTGCTCAGCTCCCTAAAGTAGAATAGTGAAAGCAATTATTTCTTGGCCCGTTAACTCCATCTTGTCTAACACCCCCCTCCCGCCCTGCCTTGCATATTTTCAACATAGACTTAATAAGCATCTTTGAAAGCCTGTTGGCTGAAAAATAAATCTGTCTTGTGGCATTAGACAAGCACATATGTTGCAGCACAGAAAACAGGGGGGAAACACAAGACAGAATAAACAAACAAACAAACAAACAAACACATAAATGAACTATTGGACAAGGTACAATAGTGTCAAATTGAGATCTGAGCCAGAGACTTCCTTGCCACAGTCAACTCTCTTAACTGCGACAGAATTAAGCTTGCGCTTAAGTGCCAAAGAGGAGGAGAAAATATTTACCTTTATATGTCCGGAAGTCATCTTGCATTTTTTCTTCCTCCATCTTGCAGAAGTCCTTTCCCCCCTCCAGATCTTGACTTTCCAAAATGAGGACTTTACAGTTTACCTTGGCTATTCCATGAGAAGAGTTAATCAGTAACTTGCAGGGATGGCAGAGACCACACCTCTGCCCCTCTGCCCTCAGCCTGCCTGCCAGTTTTTAAAATGCAGTGGCAGCTGAAACATCCTTCCTTGAACTGTGGTCCAGAGAGTTCTTAGACAACATGGTAATGAATTTAGTGCCTGTTCAAAATCTCTGTGGGTGGAAATCAGTGCTATAGTCTCCTTCCATGAAGTATCAGCCTTGATCCGAATGGGCAGTGTGTGTATGTATGTATGTATGTATGTACAGTATGTATAAATAAATAAATAAAGAGTTGGAAAGGATCCCAAGGGTCATCTAGTCCAACCCCCTGCAATGCAGGAAACTCAACTCAAGCACCCATGGCAGATGGCTACCCAAGCTCTGATTAAAAACCTCCAAGAAAGGAGAGTCCACCACCCTCTGTGGGGGACTGTTCCAGCTTTGTCAGAAAGTTCTTCCTGATGTTTAGTTGGAATCTCCTTTCTTGTCACTTGAAGCCATGGGTTCGAGTCCTACCCTCCAGAGCAGGAGAAAACCAGTGTGACCCATCTTCCATGTCACAGCCCTTGAGATACTTGAAGATGGCTCTCATATGTCCTCTCAGTCTCCTCTTTTCCAGGCTAAACATCCCCAACTCCCTCAACCGTTCCTCATAAGGCTGGTTTCCAGACCCTTGATCATCTTGGTCGCCCTCCTCTGCACACCTTTCAGCTGGTCAGTACAGGTAGCGACCATTTTTCGCGTGTCCACTTGATGCACTTCACATACATGCTTGCTTCTGGCGACCCTGAAGTGGCCCCCAAATGGAGCTGGGGGCGGAATGGGACGGGGTGGTCTTATGCATGCTCTGCTGGTGCTTGCAGGGGTCAGGAACAGAACCCCTGTGCAAAATGGTTGCTGCCTGAATCCTTCTTAAATTGTGGTGCCCAGAACTGGACACAGTATTCCAGGTGTGGTCTCACCAAGGCAGAAGGGAGTGGCGCCACTTCTTCCTTTGACCTGGACACTCGACTTCCATTGATGCAGCCTAGAATGGTGTTTTTTGCTGTTGCATCACACTGTTGACTCATGTTGGGCCTGGGAGTAAAGAGGCAGGGCCCAGGGGTTAAAAACCAGAGCTAGAAATCTGATGCCCCCCCCTAATGTTTGCTGGGTGATGGGAGTTGTAGTTCAGCAGCAACTAGAAGGACAAAAGTTCTCCATATCTGAGCAAAAACAAGGAAACTGGAGGAGGAATCTGTGACTCTCTACAGGTTGGATTGATTGATTGATGATTGATTGATTTCATAAAATTTATACACCACTTTACAAAGAAAAAATATCACAAATTTGAAACATTTGAAAGTTTAAATACTAAAATAGATTAATGTTACCTCAACTTTCTAAGCACCTGGCTAGGCTTGTCTAAACAGGAAAATAGTATAGTGAAGGCACCTGATCTCAACAGGCCAGGATGTCCAAAGTGTAGGTGCTTCAACACTGGTCCTCCTCTCCTGCTCCTCTCTCTCTCTCTGATTTCTGGCCATTGGCAGAAATCAAGGTTAGGAGGCAAACACAGTTGAAATCAATAGTCCTTGTTAGTTTAGGCTGCAATAAGTGTAAATATTATTACACTTTCTAATCAGGGAACAGATCACTGTTACACACACACACACACACACACACACACACACACACAGGTACCTCAGTTTATGAACTTAATCCCTTCTGGAAGTCCATTCTTAAACCGAAACCGTTCTTAAACCGAGGCGTGGTCTCCCTAATGAGGCCTCCCACTGCCGGTGCCCTTTCACCATTCAGATTCCGTTCTTAGACCGAGGTAAAGTTCACAAACCGGGACACTACTTCCGGTTTTGTGCAGTTCATAAACCAAATCGTTCTTAAACAGGACTGTTCTTAAGCCAATGGTGTGTGTGTGTGTGTGTGTGTGTGAGAGAGAGAGAGAGAGAGAGAGAGAGAGAGAGAGAAGATGTTTAGCTTTCCACTGATTGCATTTTTTGGTCAGTAAGTCCACTCTGAAAAGTTCATAGAAAGGGGTGGTGTAATAAATACTGAAAATAATCACGTAATAAATGAAAGCTGCCATCCTATACTTGCGAAACCCTGGTATGCCAGAGGAACTCAGGATACATGGCAGCAGAGTGACAAGGATTGCCAGAAAAAGCCCAGTGAGATGGGGGAGGATCACCCCCAGACTGCACTGGTGTGTGAGGCAGTCAGTTGCAGGTGGAAGTCAAGGAGGGAGAGGACAGATGACGGCCAATGGCTCCTTCTGGGATCTACCCAGCAGGGCAAGCCTCTCTGGCCAAATTGCAGGGAGGGGGACGCTCTGCATGCTGATTTTTGTCCTGGCTCTATTCTTTGGTGACTTGACAAAATGAGTCGCCTCTGACCTTGTGCTCTCCACATGTTATGAGTCTTGAGGCATCACCAAGCTCAGGAGTGGCATGGCAGCTGGATGACATAAGGGGGTGGGGGGAGGCTGAGACTGGAGACCAGAGACTGGAGGAGATGGGCACTTTGCCCCAGGCTGGGGAAGCAGGATGCCCATCTCTCTTCTTTCCTCCTTGGGGATGGGGATGCCACAGAGTCAGAAGGGGAGGGCACAGCCTGGTCACCCAGCACCCGATGGCACTCCCACTGGGGGGAACAGTTGCATCCTCCCCAACTCATGCTCAGGGATCTTGCAAGGCACACGAGTTGTGAGTAGGTCTGCCTTGCTCTATAACCCTGCTGCCCCTGCTGGAACGGGTGCCGAAGCAGCAAGCAGTCATCATGACTTGTCTGTGAGGTGCTCATATGATAAACATTACTTATGCACATAGCAAGCTACATAAACTGGCGCCCACAGCCCAGTTAACTCACCCCTGTTCAGGGAAGTTTTTAATATGTGATATTTCAGTGTATGTTTTATCTTTGTTGGAAGCCGCCCAGAGTGGCTAGGGAAACCCAGCCAGATGGGCGGGGTACAAATAATAAATTATTATTATTATTATTATTATTATTATTATTATTATTATTATTACTATTATTATTATTATTATTATTATTATTATTATTACCCCTGACTTAGAGGCCCTTTCCCAACTCTCATCCATCTCTCAGATAAGGAAGCAGCTGACAGGCAGTCAGCGTGAAAAGACTCTCTTTTCCCAGCTAGCTATTTCCCAGCTAGCCATGAGCTAGTGGAGGTCCCACTGCTGACCTCCGGCCTTATGCCAGCAGAGCAGTGGCATTTCTCCCTTCCAACCAGTGTCCTATGAGCATATGTCTCCTCTGTTGGGAGACATAGTTTCCTGGATGATATGTATTCCTACCTATCGGCTCAAGGGCCAGGCATCCTTTGAAAGTCCTGCCTCAGGCTCAGACAGCTCCTGACCATCAGCCTCAGGTTCTGCAGGTTCCTGGCCACCAACCCCAGGGCTTAGTGTCAGGAACATGGAAGACCAGTTCCCCAGCTGGTGGTACAGCAGGCCTAGAGCTCAAGGCCAGGGCTAAGCCATACACAGAGTTCAAGACTGTTAGCTGTGGTTTTTTTAAAGACTTAGGTGTGAGAAGGCCAAGCAGTAATGGGCAGCATCTAATGAAGTTCCAGAGTCCAGAGACAGGCTGAGCTAAATCCCAGTGGTTAAGGGAGAAGCATCAAGACAACACTTCCATCCTACCCTAAAGGTTGGTACCATATGGTCAGGGACTGGTCAGATGAGGAGGAGGGGTGGACACCAACCACCACCCCAGGAGGCTTCTGGGCAGGAGGCAGGTGCAGTTAGCATGGACCCAGATGCGTGGTGGTGGCACGCTGGGAAATAATGGAGGAACAGGAGCAAGCTAGCATATGCGCCATTCCTACACAGAGACAGGAGTCTGAAGTGGGAGAAACAGCACAGCAGGCAGTGGACACAATATCAGTTGAAAGCCTGGTAGAACCTCCTCCTCCTCCTCCTCCTTGAACCAGGCATTCCCTGCGTATCTTAGAGCGGAAAGTCAAAGAGAGACAGAAAGAGTCCTTTGCTGGCAGCAGGAGGGGTTGGGAAGCTAGGAAGTACCGCAAGGGGGGGTGGAGCAGGCATTCTGAGCAAAGTCTCAAGATTGGGGGAGCATAATTCATGGCCTCTCTGTGTATTTCTGTTGATTTAAATAAAAGAACTGAAAGAAGCTCTCTGTGTCTCTGATTTCACTAGGCTCCCGGCACATACCTGCTGTGCAAATACGTATCAATATTGGGGGGTATCTTTTATATGAAATTTCATGTGGGTGTTTTCAAAAGGGTCAGTCACTAAAATAACAAAACAACACATGTGGCAGCTGCATTTATATAATACTTTATAGTGTTGAAAGTGCTTTTCTTACATCACCTCAGGAACCCTGTAAGGAAGGACAGAATTATTTCCCACAGTTTGGAAGAAACAATTGCTTAAGAATTTCTATGTCAGCAGTAAATCTGACATTTTCCCCAAATAATTGGGTTTTTAAATGAAATCTTGAAAGTTTGTTTGATATTTTAAAAATAATAATGATAATAATGTTTTCCTGACATTGCTTTTTTTGGAGCTGTCACCAGGTTAGGGTTTGCAGTGGCTCATCTTAAGCATGAAGATCAAGGCAGGTGTTCAGGTTCTCTTGGATGCAGGTGTCGGCTTCACTGGTAAGGCTTTCTCACAGACATAGAAGGATTCAGAACTGCAGGTGTAGTCATTCCATTCCCCGTTGATCCAAAGTTGGCCACAGTCCTCATCCTGGTTTTGATAACTGTTGGGTTCTCCTTGCTTCCAGTTCCTGTGATGGAAGCAAGATGTCTCTGTCTCTCTCTGAGCATCATCAGCATAATCATCACCACCAAAAATTCACTAAACCTATTTATGTTCACCCACTAGGAATTCTAGGCCACTGTTTCCCAAACCTCTAACAGATTAATATTTTCCTCCCTAAATTAAAATTGAAAGCCTATTTACTTTTACAACTAAAAGTATTTATTCCCTGTACACGTCTACTCAGAGATGAGCTTCACACTGTGTCTGTTGGGGCTCAAGTGGGCATAGGATTGCAGCCTATAATATATTATTTTTTTAATAATATTATTATTATAGGGTTATTATATTATTGTTCCATAGGGTTGCAGCCTTCCAAACACAGGACCGGTGTGACCAAGTTGCTTCCCATACGAAAAACTGGCAGTGACACTGTCACCCCTTGTGACCTCCAGTCACTGAGAAACAGCCGTGAGGGGGCCGTGGCCTCGGGAGTGGGGGGTGCAGGACTAGGTGGGCCTTTGGCCTAGTCCCACAATGACCCCAGAGGAGTTGCCCAGTGCTTACTTGAAGCCTGTCCTGTAATTGCTGCCGTCCAGCCATTTCCACTCGCCTTCTGAGTGTTGGTCATGGAGTCCAATCCAATAGCGCTCATTCCTGGTCCGTGTCTGTATGAAATTCTGCAAGAGGCAAATCCAAAATACAGAAATATGGGGCTGTGTCAAGCCAAGGCATCCCGTTAACGCAAGCACTTCCATCTTCCTCTCCTTTTCCTCACCCTCCCTCCCAATTTTTTCCTGGGGTTCTCCAATGTCCAGAGCAGACTTGGGGTGTGTGGGGGGGGGTACAGGGACAGGAATTCCACTGTGTAGGCGGAAGTGCCTGTGTCGATGGGGCCAGTTCTCTTCTTGCAACCATTGCTTCTGTGTTTGCATGAAGATGAAGATTCTGGGCTGCCTACTTTGCAGAGAAGGAGAAGAGTTGCTC